TTGAACATGCCATAATAGGTTGGTCACACACATGATTTACCAAGTGCTAAGCCATAAACCATAGTTTATAAACTAAATTTCAGTGGCTGGATTCACATGTTATGCTGATATGTAAAATGTGTAAAAGACATCTCTAAGAGCAGATAGGAAAGCTGAACTAATTAAGATGCTCTTAATCACGCGCTAATAAACTTTCCATTCATTCCTCCAGCAGGAACTTAAAATTTACTTAACATGTAAATAATGGTTAGGTTTATAGAACATGCTAAGCCTTGGTTCCTCTAACCATTATTTATTTAATAGTCTACAGTTAGCTGGGCTTGCACATAATTCTATGTCATAATCAAAGTTTATTAATCGTAATAGCAAAATTTAAGAAAAACATCAAATCATCTTTTGGCCATGAAGCTTCAGTGTGCATTGTCTACCACACAACCATTTGGTAATTCAAACAGCAGGGACATCAATGAAACTGGAATGGTTCAGAAATAGCTTTTCTGGGGACCAACTTTCAAGATAATGAACAGAAGTGCCAGTTAATTACAGGTCAGATCAGAGAACAGGCAAGCTACATTACATTTGGTTTCAACACAAACTCCATACTTATTTTATGAATATGTCACCCTAAAGTAAAAAGCAGATTTTTTTAAAGAAGGCACACCTGCCCATTCAAATTGACAAGGCTGTGGGATGGCTATTACCCTGTGCTTGCCTTCAAGTTAGCAGAATATGAATTAAACTGGATAATGAACTTTAGAAAAATTCTTAAAAACCTCCTCTTCAACCACTTGGATTCTAAAGAACACTAGACACTCAAGTGGTTTTTAGCAGAAATAAAACGGCAACAATCCTGCAGAGTCCCTATCAGAGTGAATATTATTATGGCAGCACCTGGTTAATTTTGTCTGTTTTCAAAAAACTAAGGTTGGACCGGGTTAATGTCTGGATACAATGCCATCAGGAAATGCCAGGTCTGTGGCCAAGATCAGAAAGTTCAAGAAGTGAAAGGAGTGCTTTAACCTTCGGTTTTTGCCGCAGCCAACAGCACCTAACCGACTTTGGCAGGGGAAGGAGAAGAAGCAGCAGCTGAGTAGGCTCAGACCTGATTAGTACTTAGATGGGAGGCCAACGGGAGATCTTAGGAGTACAGCGGGAGATTGAAAAAACATCCCGAAATGGCAAAGCGCTTCAGGATCACGGCCAAGGAAGCTGTCCCCTGGCAAAGCCGACTCGACCCGAGTCCGTCTATTATCACGAGCAACCCGCCCCAGCCCCAGGTGCAGAGAACAGCACGCCGGTCAAGTCTTGCGGAGGGACGCCCGCCGCTCCCCCGACCCTCCCAGCCCCGCGCCCAGGCAGGGCGATCCCTCCCTCAGCCACAGACCTTGCAATCGGAGACCTTGGCCGATTTTTCACAGAAGTTAACGGGGGCCAGGCCAGGGAGGTAAAAGGGCGAGGCGAAGGGCGGAAGAACCGCCAGGAGCGCGGAAAGCAACACCACCCGCACGACCGCCATGGCGACAGAGGCGAGGACGGAGGGATAGCAAGAAAAACCCCTGCCCCGACGTCCAAGCCTGCCCGGCTGTTACTTCCGGCTTCCGCAGACACGTCAACCAGTGCTCGCGGGAAGTGCGTGAGGAGTCACTTCCTCTCACCAGGTCTCTCGGTTGCCATAGTTACAGCGGGACTAGGCGGGGCTAAGGAAGGCGTGGGCCACAAGGCGCAGTCTGAGGTTCAAGGTCTAGACCAGTGTTTTTCAAAGTTGGCAGCTTTAAGATGTGTGGACTTCAGCTCCAGGAATTCCCCAGTCAGCATGCTTTAATCCTGGAAGGGCTTCCAGCAGAAGCAAAACTGAAAAATAGCCTTCATCTTTATTAAGACAGTAGATAGCCCCAGAATAGCAGCAGCTAGAATTCCCTGGAAGCAATAAAATAAAGTACTGGCAAGGAATAGCCTAGATTCGCCTTCCCCAATATGGTGCCCTCCCTCCAGAGGTGTTGGACTGTCACTTTCCTGGCTGGGGATGATGGAAGTGGCACCCAAGACAATGGGAGTGTCTAGTTTTAGAGGGCTAGCCTCAATTAATTAAAAAAAAAAAAAAGCTTTTCTTGGAGAGAGAATGACCCCATCATTGCAAGACTCTCTTTGTCCTACTTGGATGCCTTTAGAAGTAACTTTTCACCAGGATAAGCATTTTTAATTCTGCTTACAAACTCCAGAGGATTTACATTCTTGGTTGGACCCCAGCTGCATGGATCTACAAGCTTAACCAACATTAACCAACATAGTTAATGAGGCTGATTTTTGTTCCTAAATGGACAATTGTTGCCAAACTATGAGGATTTAATTGAAGAAATGCTAACTCAAATATGCTAGGTTGACATGTTGGGTTAATTGTGGTTCATGTAACTGATTTGTTACTAATTCCCACATTGTGCCCTGCCAGGAGGGTGCAGCTCTTCTGAGGCCATTCTCCTAAAGTGCGCTATTGACCTTTGAATGGCTAGTCAATAATCCATGGTTAACAAACCACAGGAGCTATTTAATAATTGAAAAAAAAATCTCTGCAAACATTTAAAAGCTCAGGCTGCTTGTACCAAATATGAATAGTCTCAATGGCAACAGAGGATAGGAATGATCATGAAGGTGACATATTTCCCTGTTATCATTACTGAAATTTTTTAAAGTGTAAATGAGTTCATACATCGTGCTAAGCCATAAGGTGACTTGTTTGATTTTCCTTTAGTACAGTATAAACCCAACCATTGTGATGTATAGGCCACAGTTTGTGGCTCAGTATGTGGGAATTGTGCCAACTATGGACTACGCAACACAAACTTAAGGAAATCATGACTTAGCTTGATGCACAAAGTTTCATATGCTTAATTTACATAACCTATTGTGTGATTTGGTTTTGGTTTAAGATTGTTGCATAAACTCAACCATTGTAGTTTGTAAACTGCTTTATAGTACAACATGCTTATTCAATAAATTGTAGTTACCAATAGAGACTCAGAGAACCTCAAGGACTCCACAAAATTGTAGTTAAACCACAGCTTAGCATGATAGTGGAAACACAGTTTCTTTTGCTGAAGTCATACTAGGCTAAAATGTGTGTGCAGATACATACCCTGATGGTTGAGAAATGTGTGTTGCGTTTACAAAAGCTCACACTCAGGAACATTTAAAAATTACCAGTAATGCAGATTACTATCTGAAGTATCCTGCATATACGTTTTATCTTGTATGGCACTTTTATTTCCCAAGTTTCAATAAAAAGCCAATAAGAAGACTTGAGATGAGACTTCT